GATTCACTTAACGTTCTTGTTGCAAAACCCACTTAACAACCGTCTGAACGACAGGAACTTTGAGCTCAGTTATGGTTGTAAATCCAGGACTATCTGTAGTCAGTCTGAAGAAGGGCAGTGAAATCAAACCATGATCAAAGATTTACCCCAGGCTGGGGAGGGAATTTCAACACAACGCAGAAACTGCAGACAAAAGGTTTGTAAATGTCAAGAAGTGTAATCAAAACGCTGACAAAATTTGATCGATTGCATTAAAGGGCATCTTCCTAAATACACACCTTATATAATCGATCTTCTTTCTGACAATGGTTTATTTACTGGGGAACTGGCTCCCCCCTACACTGACTCTATTTTCTTGGGAGGAAAAAATATATATCAAGAAATGGAAAAAAAGGGACAAGTCTGAACGCCGTTCTTAGGAATTTTTAAAACTGTTGAGGTGGGTCACTTTGCGTGGCAAAAGACCATTCCAGAGCCCAACTAGGAAAATAAAATTACATTTGATAAATTAGAATAGGAGCTGGAAGGGACCTTGGAGGTCTTCTAGTCCAGCCCCTTCTCCGCGCAAGCAGGAGAGCCTATACCATCTCCAGACAAGTGACTGTCTAGTCTCTGCTTAAAAATCTCCAGTGATGGAGCGCCCACGATTTCTGGAGGCAAGCTGTTCCACTGGTGAATTGTCCTTAAAAGGATTTCTTTCTGAAATAAAGCACTGCCCTTTTTAAAACCAAGAGAACGTCGGTCTCAGAAGAGCACACGAATTTAATCCACAAATAAAAAACAAAAGCTTGGATCAACCAGGATGGATTTGCATCCACCTGGCCCCCCAAGCAGGGCAGGCTTATTGTACCTGACATCTCGTCTTACCTGCCACAGGTATCAGCCATGGGGCAAACCATAAGAGATCCGATGAGGCCCCCCAGAGAGTAGATCACGCTGGTCAAAGTATATAGGAAATTCAGACCGATAATCTGGGGAGTCTCTTTTTTCTTCATCCTGAAAGTGTTGTTGTAGTAATCTTGGATAAGCTAGACAGAAAACGGCACACTCAGTGGCAGCAGAGAAGGGTCCAACCCTTCAGCCCCCCCCACCGAGGACCCGCCCCCAAGAAAGGGAAAGGGGGGTGGAAACCACTTACCGCTGCAGGATGGTTCACCACCCAGAGATTGTAACCATATTGGAAAGAGGATCCAAAGGTTAAGATTATGGTGATGGTCATCAATGGCCTGGTCAGCTCCTGTCAAGAGGGAGAGAGAGAGAGACAGACAGACAGACAGACAGACAGAGAAAGAGAGAAAGAGGGAGAGAGAGAGAGAGAGACAGACAGACAGACAGAGAAAGAGAGAAAGAGGGAGAGAGAGAGAGGGAGGGAGGGAGAGAGAGAAGGAGGGAGAGAGAGGGAGACAGAGAGCAATAAAGACAGAGAAAGAGAGGGAGAGAGAGACAGAGATACAGAGAGAGAGAGAGACAGACAAAGAGAGAGAGAGAGGAAGAGGGAGAGAGGGAGAGAGAGGGAGAGAGAGAGAAGGAGGGAGAGAGAGGGAGACAGACAGACAGACAGAGAGCAATAGAGACAGAAAGAGAGGGAGAGAGAGACAGAGACACAGAGAGAGAGACAGACGGACAGACAGACAAAGAGACAAAGAGAGGGAGAGAGGGAGAGGGAGAGAGAGGGAGAGAGAGAAGGAGGGAGAGAAAGAAAGACAGACAGAGAGAGCAAGAGACAGAGAAAGAGAGGGAGAGACAGAGAGAGAGAGACAGACAGACAGACAGACAAAGAGAGAAAGAGAGGGAGAGAGGGAGAGGGAGAGAGAGGGAGAAGGAGGGAGAGAAAGAAAGACAGACAGAGAGAGCAAGAGACAGAGAAAGAGAGGGAGAGACAGAGAGACAGACAGACAAAGAGAGAAAGAGAGGGAGAGAGAGAGAAAGGGAGAGAGAGGAGAGACAGAAAGAGAGGGAGAGAGGGAGAGAGAGACAGACAGACAGAGACACACACAGAGACAGACAGATAAAGAGAGAAAGAGAGGGATAGAGGGAAGGAGAGGGAGAGGGAGAGGGAGAGAGAGAGAAAGGGAGAGAGAGAAGTAGAGACAGAAAAAGAGGGAGAGAGGGAGAGAGAGGGAGAGAGAGAGAGGAGGGGGAATCATTGAAAAAAAGGATTATGACCATTTTTCACACTTTTAAAAAAATATGTTTCATTAATTTGTTTTTACACGATCACCTTAATATTTGGTAAACATCGTGTTGTCGGGTTTATATTGAAAAAACAGTCAATAACAATTAGTTTCTATAATTCTATAGTCCACACAATAGCTTTGCTTGAGGTTCTCTTTCGCCACCCTTGAATTAAGACAATTCTTATTATTTAGATCAGGGCTCTTCAAACTCGGCCCTTTGATGACTGGCGGACTTCAACTCCCAGAATTCCTCAGCCAGGCGTGCCACGCTGGCTGAGGAATCCTGGGAGTTGAAGCCCGCCCGTCATCAAAGGGCCGCGTCTGAAGAGCCCCGAGTTAGATAAACGACAATTAAACACAGACATTTTTCTAACACGTCTGCAAATGATAACTCTAACCTCAATCGCGGCCGTTAAGTCGGGATAACCTGCGGATCAGGGTCACAACACGCCCCACAGAGCGACTCTCGATCCCGCCTCGGGAAGAGTAAAATCCCAGCTCACCTGATGGAGATACCTCGGGTGAATCTCTTCGGCCTTTTCTGGAACTTCTAGATACATAGCTTTGGAGACGAGGATCCGAACTCGAGACCCGCGACAATAGCCTTCCCGCTATTTAAGAGAGAAACAGACCTGTTGGACCCGAGCTGGACATCAACCCAGCATCCTGGTCAGCATCCTGGGTAGCTCAGAAGCCAGGCCGGATGTTGGTTTGCCTTTTGCCCCTCCCTCCCCAGTTTTTGCAGGTAGACTGCTCCCGAACGGGGAAGCCCCATCTCCCTAGCAAGGGGAAGACACCCACCCACCAACCGGCCCTTTGGCTGTGGATTGTTGGAAAGAGGTGGGTTCCAAGCCAATCAGGCAGCCGAAGGGAGAAGATTCTAGAAGCCAAACAATTGGGAGTTAGAAGTCGCCGGGATTCAAGTTCTCTCATCATCATCATCATCATTAATATTATTATATTATTATTTTTTTAAAAAAAAAAAAACAGGAGACTGCCAGAACTGGAGGTGCCACTGTGCCAGGAAGTCGGAAACGTGCCGGAGAACGCAAAGAAAACTGCCCCAACCCCCTCGTAAGGTACGAACAGGAGCCTACCTGGCAGGGCGGTTGTGCAGCACGGCTCAGAATACACGTCGCTCTAGAATACACAACGGAACCCCCCCCTCTTTCTCCCCCCCCCTTACAAGAAACCTACTTCCTGCTGGAGAAGTTGCTCTCCAGTTCAAACTGAGGCTATTTGATAGCAGGACGCGGAATCCTAGGGCCCGGAGGGGACCTTGGAGGTCATCTAGCCCAACCTCCCCCCTGCTCAGGCAGGTTTCGGGGATCGATTCTTCTTCTTAGTAATTTTACGTTCTCATTTTAGGACTCAGTTACCGCCTTACCACGTTGCAACACTCACTGGCACGACCGCTTCATAGTGTAGTAGGGTTTATTATCCTTTTGTGTCCTCTTATGCTATTTTGTTCTTGCGTACTGATAAATGACTTCCAACGGGTCATTTATTGACCGTTCCAAGTTACAAGGGCAACTGGGAAAAAAAGGGGACTCAGGGCCGTTTTTCACGCTTAACGACCGTCGCAGCATTCCCCGCCGCCACGTGATCGACGTTCAGCCGCTTGGCAACCGATTCATACGTACGACCGTCGCGCTGTCCAGGGTTTACGTGATCCCCTTTTCGCAACCTTCTGACAAGCAAACTCAACCTTAACAACTTAACAACTGTGTGCTATTAACAACTGTAAAATTATTAACGAGAATAATTGACACGCCCCCCCCCCCATCCTGCTTGAGCGGGGGGGCTGGACTAGATGACCTCCAAGGTCCCTTCCGGCTCTATGATTCTGCGTTCTAACTGTACGGTCGTACAATGGAAGAAAACCCATTTAGCAACTGTCTCGCTGAGCAACACAAATTTTGGGCTCAGACTGAGGTCATAAGCCAAGGACTAACTATTTCTTCATTCTGGGCGCAGTTTCAAAACTAGAAATATGTCTTAGAAAGCTTTCTCCCACGGAGAAAAAAAACCTGAGTTAACTATATTTAATACTCCTATCGCCGGCGAAACGAAGGAGATCGTTTAAATGGTGAATTTTTTTTAAAATGTTTTCTAAGCACCCCCCTCCCCACAATTCTGCCTTCCGGCTCCGACTACGAAATCCACAATTTCACTCCCGTTTCCGTGTGCTGTCCAATTTTCCCGACGCGTAGTTTTCCCCGCGGATAAATAAAGATGGCGGGAGGACCACAAAAGGACATGCGACATGCAAGGTTATTCGCTAAAATATATATATTTTTTAAATAAAATAAAATAAAATAAATAGTAGTAATATTTTAAAAGCGAACAAACCACGGGTGGGCGTTTGGGTCATCTCAACCCCAAACAAAGGTGGTTTAAACACAGAAAAGAGGAGTTGAAAAAACGAGGAGGTGGTGGAGGTTCCAGAAAAACCGGCAAAAACGCCAGGATGGGTTTTTTGACGTCTCCAGGATCCTGTTGAGAAGCCCTGAGGACCGTCCGTCGTGAGCAGGTTCTCTCCCAATTGTCCCCCATGAAAGGTCATCAGAGAAGATCTGGTCCTTCCAGCCACGGAGGATCATCCAACTGGAAAGGAAACACGTGGTGGTCCTCAACCTGGGGGAGATGCCTCCTGCTGAAGGACCCACCTCCACAGCTCGACGTCTGGGGGGGCGGGGGCTGGAAGGAGGAGACGGGGGGGCGTTGTCTGCCCCCAAACTAAGAGGAGACCTCTTGAGTCCATCTTCCCTCGAGCAAAGGCAGCCCGGACCGGGGTCCGCCGAGAAGGTCCCGGGTCCACCATTACGACCGTTGGGCCAGATGGCGAGACAGGACTCTCCTGATCTCCAGGAAACTCCGATCCTTGGTCTCGGGGATCATCTTGGCGACGTAAAAAACGGTGGCGATGTTGAACGGCCAGAAGAATAGAAAGCTGTAGGGTTCCAGTTCGATCTAGGAAGAGAAAGTGAAGTCCAAGAACTGATCCCTCTGTCTTGACAGAGTTGTGTCTTCTGCCCCACCCAAAGAGGAACGAGTCCTGCCTTTCGGGAGCTTCAATCCTGGAGTGAGCCAGGAGCAGATAAGCAGATCTTCTAGAGAAGATTTCATGGCCAAACTGAAGATAGGTCCACTTTCCCAAAATCCGGGCCAGGAGTCCTCAGTTTCATTTTCCGCCACAAGTTATGTCCCACGTCTTGGGAGATGCATGCAAAGGGTGGGGCTAGTCAAAAGAGTGGGCGGGTCTAGAGTGAGAATTGGTGGGGCTATAGCCAAGTAGGCGGAGCTGGGATCCATGACGGGTGGAGAGGCATCAAAAACTGGGTGGGGTTATGTCAAAGTGGGTGGAGAAGGGATCTGGAACGGGTGGGGCCCTATCAGGGAGTGGGTGGGGCTAAGGCTGAGGATAGGTGGGGCTGCCAAAGCGGGTGGGGCTAAGTCACAGTGGGTGGGGCTAAGACTGAGGACGAGTGAAGCTAAGTCAAACAGGAGGGCTGGCACCCAGAATGGGTGGGGCTAGGCCAAAGTGGGTGGGGCTAAGACAGGATGGGTGGGCTAGAGGTCAAACAGGATAGCTGGCACCCAGAATGGGTGGGGCTAGGTCAAAGTGGGTGGGGTTATGGCCAGGGATGGGGGTGGGGGCTAAGAATGAGGATGGGTGGGCTAGATAGATCAAACAGGACGGCTGGCACCTAGAATGGATGGGGCTAGATCATAGTGGGTGGGGCTGTGATGAGGATGGGTGGGGCTTGGTCAAACAGGAGGGCTGGCATGCAGAATGGGTGGGGCTCAGTCAAATAGTGGGTGGGGCTAGGACTGAGGATGAGTGGGGCCAGGTCAAACAGGAAGGATGGTACCCAGAGTGGGTGGGCCTTAAATAGTGGGTGGGGTCAGAACTGAACATGGGCGTGGCTACATGAAAGAGAAAGGCCAAGAAGAAGAAGAAGAAGAAGAAGAAGAAGAAGAAGAAGAAGAAGAAGAAGAAGAAGAAGAAGAAGAAGAAGAAGAAGAAGAAGAAGAAGAAGAAGAAGAAGAAGAAGAAGAAGAAGAAGAAGAAGAAGAAGAAGACGACTCACGTCTATGTGGAGATACGTCACAATGATGAGGAATTTGCAAATCCAGTGGATGCTTCCTGCGATCACGAAAGCCGTGGATCGAGTGGTCTGGAGGAAATACTCGGCTACCAGAACGTTGGGAACCGGATCTGGTTGCAAAGACAGGAGGTGCTTGTTTCAACCGCTGATCTGCCCAATTTTTATTTTTTATTAGCAGACGCGAGTTCAAAACATGCACCCCTTTGAGTCTGCAATGCCCCTGCAAAGCATTCGGTGCCAAGATACTTACTGGGGCCAGTCGCTTGTCCGATGAGGAAGATGGTATGGAACGACACACTCAGATACGCCATGGTGGGGATGTTTTTCTGCCGGAGGGAGGGGAAAAAAAATAAATCTCTTTAAATAAAAATAAAGTCAGATACTCCCGGCTCCATATTGCTAGTAATCGCAGCTGTCCCGGGAGCCGTTAAGCATGAACAAATAAAAAATAAAATAAAAATATTCAGGCAAATTCTCGGGGAGCATCATTGGCAAAAGACACTTGCTCCATCGTTGCTTTTCCTGGCATCAGCCAGCGGGGAAAATGTCTTTCCACAAGCCCCCCCAGATTGCCTTCAAAATAAAAATTAGGGTTTAGGGGATCCCCCCCCCACACACCTGGAGTTGCAAAGACATGGACAAGAAGATGCAAGAGATGCTGCAAATGCTGAAGCCGGTGAGCAGCAGAACCCGTCGTCCCGAAGTCTCCACGATGCAGATCTGGAGAAAATTAAAAAGCGCCGGCATAGGTTAATCCCGAGTTACGACCAATCCCTGGACAACAGTTCAGAGTTACGACGGTTAACGACAAAAGGCCCATAAACCACTTCTAGCTGACACAAGATGTGGTGCACCCCGCTTCGCTCATTTGGGAGGATGGATCCGGATTTACAACTGTGTGGTTTTGCTTAGCGACCGCCGCACAAGAGAAGTCCGGTTACGTGTGCGCTTTGACTTACGACCATCACAACTCACAACCCAAATCCTGCTCCCCATTTTGGTCGCAAGCTAACCGCTCCCTGGTGTTTTGTTTGACAGAAAAGCAAAAAGTAAAAGACAAAAAAAAGAGAGAGAGAGAGAGAGAGAGAGAGAGAGAGAAATGAACGTAAGAAGAGAAAGAGGAAAGACAGAAAAAGAGTGAAGCGAGAAAGAAAAATAGAGAAATATTTAAAGCGACTCCCGTTCTCCTCTCACCACTAGGGTTGTGATGACCATCAGGAAGAGAGACAACGCCATGCTGATGTACCACACCACCATCTCGCTGACCCCCGAGGACAAGTAGATCCGCTTCGCGTAATGCTGGGCCTGGAAGGACAACAAAGCCCATACGTCATCCTGCTCCTTCACTGGCTTGCAAGATGCAGAGCAGGTTGGACCATCGGAGGTGGAGGGTCCTGGTGGAGCAGGCTTGAGATCCGTCTTCCTCAACCTTGGCAAATTGGAGAGGTATGGCCTTCGACTCCCAGAATTCCCCACGGCTGGCTGGAGTTGAATTCTGGGAGTTGAAGTCCACAGCTGTTCAATCGGCCAAGGGCGAGGAACATAGTCCAGATGAACAGAGGGAAAGTTCTCCAGAAGGTTTCCCCTACCGCGTTGATCCCGGAGAGCTGCTGACCCGCCATCAGGACCACGATAGAGATCACGTGCCACCGAAGGCCGGGATAATACAGGATCTTCATCACGTCCATATCTTTCTCCGCCTTGTCCACCAGCTCCTCTTGCCGAAGGTCTTCCATCTCCTGCTCCACATCCTCTGAGCACCTCAGCTCCTTCAAAGCTACAGGAGGAGGAGGAGGAGGCCCAGAATTCATTGAGAGAGGAGGACAAGAAAAGACCACCCTCTGGAGATCCCTTCCACCCCACCCCGTCTGTCCAAAGACTACTTACTTTAGAGGAAACCTGGCCAATAAACATACAAGGTGGCAGAGTTTTGAGGGAGATCCTGGAACTGTGAGGCCCATCGCTTCGTTCTTAAGGGAGTACACCCAACTGCTTCTGAAGAGCTGGGCCACCCCAACCTGGAACCCCCCAAAAGTGGGCTCCTGCCTTGCAAACGGGCCTCACCCACTGATTCTGCACCCTCAAAATAATCACCAGCCCCCAGATCAAGGCTGAAGGTCTTCTCCTGGCGTCCTACAAGGCCATTTTCCTTGTAGGCTGAAGAAAAACAAGTACGAGAAGAGGACAATCTCTAGTCTGAAGCCATCTCCCTCAGCCATGCTGGATGAGGAAGCTGGAGAGCCCCTGACCATTTTAATGGAGATGAGTGGCTTGGAAAGTCAAAACTGGCTTGAGAAGAGCTAGACCCAATCAGTAATCAATCAGTCAATCAATCCATCTTTACCCTGCCTGGCTTCTTCTTCCTTCTTCCTCTGAATCAGGAGAAATCGAGGACTTTCGGGGAAAAACGGGAGAAACAGTAACTGGAGCAAGGCCGGGATGCCAGCGAGGCTTAACAAGATTGGCCAACCTGAAGAAGAAGTAGACCTGCTCAGAAATCAGCCACCACCAGACTTGGAATTGCCCTAATTGAACACATTTTCTTTCTCTCTTACCTTCTTCGGTTCCAAGGACTTCGCGGAAGCCTATGGCTTCTGCCAACAAAATCCCAAAGGTGATGAAGAGGTCCGCCACCGTGCAGAGCGCCCCACGCAGATTTTGGGGGGCAATCTCGGCCAGGTACATGGGGACCACACTGAAGGCAATTCCTGTTTGGGGAGGCAAGAGAAGGACCACTCATCGTTTGACGTGGGAGTGGAAGCGGGCTCTTTGCTTCGTTGTGGTGCCGGAAGGGCCCGGCGGGGGGGGGGTGGAGCAGTTGGGAGAGGGAGGGCAGCCCAAGGGAGATTTGGGGGGACCTTGGGGCCCCCCACGCCAGGGCTGTCACTCACCGGCACAGATTCCCACAAAGAAGCGCGAACAGATCAGAAGTTCGTGTGAACGCATGGGCTTGGTGGAAATGACGAGAGCCGCGGCGATCATGGCCAAAAGGTTATTGACTAGGAGTGTTTTTTTCCTGGAAAACAAAAGGGATGAGAAAAGAGAGGGGAAGGAAAGAGGAAAGGAAGGGGAGGGAGGGAGGGAGGGAGGGAGG